AAAATCAAGGCAATTTGTGTTGATAAAATCATTGACTAAAAGTGATTTATTATTGAGTGATCTGATGTTTAGAAGTGCTAACTTAACAGTTTTAGTCGTTTTCACTACAGAAGTCTCAGATATACATTTAATAGACACCAGATTTGAATGATTTGCTATACGGTCTGAAAGAGTCTTTGGTTTTCTGTCACGTAATAAGACACATATCTGCGTAGAGAAAGCTACAGACACACTGGGTTCCTGCTTGTTCTGTAAACATCTGATAAAGACACTGTTACCTAAGCAGGCCCCCGAGACACATCAATGGCAGTTTTTAAGTTCACCAGCTAAAGATGAGGTGTTTTTTGGGACCTGGCGCTGTCGCAAAGACCTGAGGCCTTTCCTAGGTGTAGGGCGAGGTGGGCTTAGAGATGGGCGTGTGGCTTGCTGACTTTTGGTTGCTAACTGGGGGCTAGCAGCAATGGAGTGTGAGAGTTTAGTTCCAGCACACACCAGTTCCTCCATCTTTTTTGAAAAATCCAAGAGAGGCGAGCAAGATGACAATGAGAACGTGTCCGGTGACAGAGGCTGTGGGTCTGGGGTTTCTGGCTGCTGAGATATGTTTACCTGGCTGTTTTCCTGGGGATCATCAATGAGTGCTGAGACTTGATGCTGTTCTGATGCATCACAGTCTGCCTGTGTTGAGCTCAGTGTGCAGGGCGCAGACGGCAGTTTGTCCGTTATCGGCGGTTGTTGTGGCTGCGTGGTGTTATCTCTGTCCTTGTAGGATGCGTCAGCCACAAGTCCACTCAGGAGCTGATTTGAAGTCCTGTGGTCATCCGGACATTTGCTAGGTGTGTGTGTGTCATTCAGTTCAGTGGCATACACAGCTGATGGATGATGGAGGGAGAAGAGGATGTTGTCTTTCAGCACTTTTGCACCAAGCTTGTTTGGATGAAGGCCGTCTGATGTAAACAGCTGTCTTTGGTTCCAGAAGAGATTGAAGTTGTCGATGAAATTCAGTCTTTTCATGTTACATGTTTTCTGCAGCCATGCATTTAGACCAAGGAGCCTTGAAAACATATTTGTCCCTCTTGCAGGGAGTGGTCCACTGATGAACGGCTGAATTTTCAATCTTTCAACTGTTTCCAAAAGCTTACAGAAATCTCTCTTGAGCAGTTCTGACTGCTCCTTCCGAATATCATTCTTCCCCACATGGATGATAATCCGTTTTGCAGTCTCATGTTTCCTTAATATGTTCTCAAGTTCTTTATTTATATCAGAAACTGTAGCATGAGGAAAGCAGTATGTCATGGTATCTCTGCTCCTAAAATTTTTGATTATTGAGTCTCCAACAATCAATGTTCTTATCTCTGTTACGATCGGAGCAGAATGCCGCTGTCTAGTCGGCCTTGAGCCTCTGTTCAGAGCAAAGTTATTTGCTGAGTCATGCGATCTCTGTCTAACTGCATTTGGGGAATCTTCACCCATATTACTCAAAACTTCATATCTGTTCTGAAGCTGTATTTGAGTCCGAGCTGTATTTGGGGTAGAGAACGCTAATGCAGCAGCGTATGACCTTCGTGATCTGACCCCACGAGTACCCTTTGGTTTCGCACCTTGTTTATGCCATAGTTCACGCTGATTTTCAACAGTTTCAATCTGTTTTTCTGTTCTCAAAACAGTAGCTGGAGTAGATTTATAGGGCTTACCGGCTGAATGCTGTGAGGCTCCACGATGAACCGGTCCTGTGTAATTCGGCAGTTCTGGTTGGATCGCAAGTAACTTTGTTTCAAGAACTGCAATCTTTTGTAAAAGTTTATGGCAGTTGATGCAGCAGTGAGATTCCAAATCAATATGATCCAGAGCCATTTTCACAGCCGTGTTTTCCTATCTCAGGAATGAAAGCAGCTGGTAGCGGGAGGATTGTTTAGACGATAATTCCTCTAAATAAAAGTAAAGTTGTACTCCAGAAAGTTTGTAGATTCGATGTTGATCTTCAAGCTGTTTCGTTTGAGCACTGTGCTGATAGGCTCAAGTTAAAATTAGATTATAAAATAAAAAAGCAGGAGTGCAAGGAGCGGAGCAGTAGGCAAAGACGTCCGAACAGTAGCAAAGCAGGAAGCAACAGATTATATTAGACATAACACATTAAAACCTCTTAAACTCAGACCTCAGTATCTCCAGCTGGCAATTGGAACTCTTCAATCCATCAGAGAGCAGCTTCACTCCTGAATCCTGCAGGTCATTGTTACTCAGGTCCAGCTCCCTCAGGACGCAGTTTGAGGATTGAAGAACTGACGACACAATTTCACAATCCTGAGTAGAGAGATTGCATCCACCAAGACTGAAAAGGTAAATCAGTTATAATTAGCATGATCCTGCAACCCTTTTTTTCAACATATCAAGATAACATCAAGAAGACATACACTGTATTGCAAAACGTTTTGGCACATCCCTCCAGATGAGCTTTCGTGAACTCAAGGATGGAGCAGTGATAGGAGGCATGTGTGCAATAAGCCCATTATTGTATTTTCTTCAATATAAAATATTCCACTGTCAATTGTTGCGATAAGTTAAATCCACTGGGAACAACAGCAACTTAGGAACAGCAGCTGCATCCAAACCTTACAAGTGCCATGCGGAACATGGGATGCAGTGGTATAAAGCAGGTCGCCACCGACTCGAGAGCAGTGGAGACGAGTTTTTAATAGTAACCAATTACACTCCTCTATCTGCTTATTTGATAGGCAAGTCTGGGTTTGGTGATTGCCTTGAGAATATTCTTGCCTGACTGCATTGTGGCAGTGTAGATTTTGTTAAATGAATAATACGAATGAACTAAGAATGGTGTGGTGTTGTTTTTTAGAATTTGTTTTAGAATTGGCCCCTTAGTTCATTCATTCATTCATTTTCTTGTTGGCTTACTCTCTTTGTTAACCAGGGGTCGCCACAGCGGAATGAGCAGCCAACTTATCCAGCATTTGTTTTACACAGCGGATGCCCTTCCAGCTGCAACCCATCACTGGGAAACATCCATACACACTCATTCACACACATACACTACGGACAATTTAGCTTACCCAATTCACCTGTACAGCATTTCTGGACTGTGGAGGAAACCGAAGCACCCGGAAGAAACCCACGCAAACACGGGGAGAACATGCAAATGCCTACTGACCCAGCTGAGGCTCGAACCAGCGATCTTCTTGCTGCGAGGTGATTGTGCTACCCACTGTGCCTCCGTGATGCCATGGCCCTTAAGTTCAGACCTTTTAATGCTTCAGTAAACCAAGACATTTTGGACAATTTTTTACTCTTAACATTGGGAAAAAGAGTTTGGGAATAGGGAATTCTGTTCACCATGACCCAGCACCAGAGCACAAAGCAAGATCCACAAAGATGCAAATGAGAAGTTTGCTGTGGAGGAACTTGTAATGTAATGTAATGTGTGTATTTATATAGCGCATTTATTGTGATGGCCATACACCCAAAGCGCTACACAATCATGAGGGGGGTCTCTCCACACCACCACCAGTGTGCAGCATCCACTTGGATGATGCGACAGCAGTCACAAGACAACAGCGCCAGTGTGCTCACCACACACCATCTATTGGTGGAGTGGAGAGACAGTGATAGAGACAATTTGGTGGAAGGGGATGATTGGGAGGCCATGATCGAAAGGGCTTCCCGGGGTTACACCCCTGCTCTTTCACGAGAAGTGCCATGGGATTTTTAATGACCACAGAGAGTCAGGACCTCGGTTTTAACGTCTCATCCGAAAGATGGCGCCCACTGACAATGTAGTGTCCCCTTCACTTTTACTGGGGCATTAGGACTCACACAGACCACAGGTTGAGCGCCCCCTGCTGGCCTCACTAACACCACTTCCAACAGCAACCTAGTGTTCCCTAGTGGTCTCCCATCCAGGTACTGACCAGGCTCAGCCCTGCTTAGCTTCAGTGAGTAACCGGTCTTGGGCTGCAGGGTGATATGGCTGTGGCTGTGACTGGCCTGCACACTGCCCTAACCTCAACCTGAATAGACGCTTTTAGGAAGAATTAGAAGTAGGCCTTCCCATCCAACATTAGTGCTTGACTTCACAATTGGGCTTCAGGAAGAATGGATAATAATTCCCACAAACACCTAAACCAGCATTAGTGGGCTGTCATTTCATGTGCATGTAGAGGCAGGTGTACCAAAACTTTTGGCAATATGTCGAATCATTTTAAATCTTATGAACAATTATGAATTCTTTCAGACAGGATAATGTTCTGAAGAAACATTTTATTGTTACACTCACAGAGCTCTTCTGCAGTTGCTGACGGCTGGTATCAGTCTTCTTCTGCCGTCATCGGATGTGTTGTATTTCCAGAACTCCAGCTCATCCAGCGCCTCCTCTGACAGCTGCAGCATGTAGGCGATTGTTGAGCAGTGAGCAGGAGAGAGTTTCCTCTCTGACTGTTTGTCTGATTTCACAAACTCCTGAATCTCTCTGGACAGAGTCTGATCTTTCACTTCCAGCAGACAGAGGAACAGATTGATGGATCTTTCAGTGGAGAGTCCATGTCCATCTCTGATCTTCTCTTTAATGTACTGTGTGCTTCTCCTGATGCTTTCTGAGCTCTTCTCTGTGTGTGTCAGTAGATCCTGGAAGAGTCTCTGATTGGACTCCAGAGAGACGCCCAGAAGAAACCGCAGGAACAGATCCAGATGGCCATTTTCACTCTCAAGAGCTTTATTGATTATATCTCTATGTAGATTTTGTATCACATCACAGAACTGCAGTGTGTCCACATTTTTTATCACGTAATGATAAAACAAATAGAAAGCAGCAAGAAACTCCTGAACGCTCAGATGGATGAAGCTGTAGACTTTCCTCTGCTGAATCACAGATTCCTCCTTAAAGATCTCAGTGCAAATCCCAGAGTACACTGAGGCGTCAGAGACGTCTACGCCGCTCTCAATCAGGTCCTCCTCATAGAACATCACATTGCCCTTCATCAGCTGTCTGAAAGCCACTTCAGCAAGTTTGACAATCACTTCTCTGCTAGACTGCAGGAGTTTCTCTGGATCTCTCTCTTCATACTTCTGATTCCTCATGTTGATCTGAATCAGCAGGAAGTGGATGTACATCTCAGTCAGAGTTTGAGGGATTTCTGCACTCAGATCTTCTTCCAGGAGCTTCTGAAGCACAGTGGATGAGATCCAGCAGAAGACGGGTATGTGGCACATGATGTGGAGGCTTTTTGCTCTTCTGATGTGTGAGATGATTCTGCTGGCTTGATGCTGCTCACTGATTCTCTTCCTGAAATATTCCTCCTTCTGAGGCTCAGTGAATCCCTGAATTTCTGTCAGACGCTTGATGTATTTGGAGGGGATCTGATTGGCTGCTGCTGGTCTGGAGGTGATCCAGATGAGAGCAGAGGGAAGCAGCTCTCCTTTCATCAGCTTTGACATCAACACAGCCACTGATGAAGTCTCAGTCACATCACAAACTTTCTGAGCGTCTGAAAACATCAGTGTGATTCTGCTTTCATCCAGACCATCAAAGATGAACACAACTTTACACTCCTCATAAATCTTGGGCTCCAGATCTTCAAGTTCAGGATGGAAGTCCAGCAGAAGTCTGTGAAGACTGTATTGATGATCTCTGATCAAGTTCAGCTCTCGAAATGGAAGCACAAACATGAAATCTACATCCTGATTGGCTTTTCCCTCGGCCCAGTCCAGAATGAACTTCTGCACAGAGACGGTTTTTCCGATTCCAGCGATGCCTTTAGTAAGAACAGTCTTGATTTGCTCTTTCTCCTCTTTAAAGATGTCATTGCAGTAGATTGGAGTGTGTTGGGAGTGTTTTGTTCTGGCTGTTTTCTCCATCTGTAAAACCTCATGTTCTTCATTCACTCCTTCACTCTCTCCTTCTATGATGTACAGCTGTGTGTAGACACTGTTCAGGAGGGTTTGAGTCTTTTGGAGTTTGACTCCCTCAAATAATCCCTCATATTTGTTCTTCATGCTGATTTTGTGCAGATCTTTGACTCTTTGGAGGACATCGTTCTCTGCTTTCTGCAGATCAACTGTCTGATCGTATTTAGTGCAGGTCAGAAAATTTCTGTCATAAAAATATGACAATTACTACACTGATCTTATTCAAATCAATTATTCAAGATTATAAATGATTTCTGCATAAATTGATAGTAAGAAATATACAATCATCCATCATAAAGACTTTCAAGATGTAATACAGTGCATTGGCATATAAATGTTTATGCTTACGGAGGGTCAGAGGTTACTGGAGTCTCACTCAGTATAGGAGGTTGCCTCATGGATACGTCACTCTTTAGAGACACAATGCTGGGATCGGAAGTGTCTGATTTATGTCTCTTCCTCCTGGTAATGTTGAATAATGACCAAATGTTGACAAACAAACAAACAAACAAACGAAACAAAAAAAAAAATTCAGCAGAAGATACAGTTTATATTTCGAAAGCACCATTGTTTTGCATATATATATATATATATATATATATATATATATATATATATATATATATATATATATATATAAATGTTTCTAATAATGTCTGTATGTATATATATATATATATATATATATATATATATATATATATATATATATATATATATATATATATATATATATATATATATATATATATATATATATATATATATATATATATATATATATATATATATATATATAAATATATATATATATATATATATATATATAT